CTGTGTGAGGAAACCAGAGTAAACCCACACTGACAAAGGGAGAATGTGAAAACTCCACAGTTGCCCGAGGGCAGAATCAAATCTGGGACCCTGGTGCTGGGAGGTTGCAGTGCTAACCACTGAACCACCATGCCACCCAAATCCTTCTCCTATTTTTAAATACCTTTACACAGTCTCAAGTTTGTTTTTACGTCATAATGTTTATACACGTGCTAAAAAACATTACAATCACAATGTGATAAGAAGTAAACAGTGCAGATGCTGGAAATCTAAGATCAAAACACTAAAAATACTTAGCTATATACAAAGAAAAGAACATCCCCACAGAATGTGACTTCTTCAGAAGATAATATATTATAATTGTAAATACCCAGATTCTGATCTCAGTAGCATCTTAACAGAACTAACACTGGTATGATAATAATCAACAATATAGCTTATAAAACCTCAGTCAAAGCTTAGGTACTATCACACAACTGTGGTTCACACCCGAAACTTAAAGGCACCAGTATAAACATCTAAATACATTCAATGCTCATTTTTAACTATTTCACTTGAAGTGAATATTATGAAGCATCCTTTACCAATTTGTTATACACTGTAGTGATTTTATAAGTTAATACACCATATAAACATCTGGTATAAAAAGTGTTAAAAGAAAAGCCAATATTAAGATGTAGATTTTGCAGTGCATGATCAGGAAAGCAGTTCACAGTGAAACATGCAAAAGCATGCTTGTTTATGACTAAAACTGGACGATACCTTCAATGCAGCTGATCAAGGCCTTATTTAAAGAAATTATCATGTTTATCAATTTATATATAAGCACACGATACATCTCCATACCCTGTCTACCCTGTGGCACTAGCTATAGGTACAGAAGACATGAAAGAAATGAAAGGTGGTATTAGAAGAAAGAACAAAAGACAAAGAAAGCTTAATGGTATAATTTATAAAGTGTTACCAGAATAGAAAAACCTAGCAACATGTGTTTATAGATATTTGGAGGCCAATGGGCAAATTAACAAAGCAGTAGATGCAATCCTGGGCTTTAAGTAAAAGACAGAGTACAAAATTCACAGAATTACACTAAACCTACATAAAACACTAGTTTGATCTCAACTGGGAGTATTCTGTTTAATTCCACAAAGAACATGAAAACTTTGGGGGAAAAAAGAAAAATTTATTAGACGGCTCTAAAATGAGAAATTACATTTATGCAAATAGATTTGAGAAATTGGGGGTTTGAATGAGGTATTTGGACACAGTGAATAAATGGCTGAAGCATGAATAATCAGAGGAGACAGATAGAAGGCAGAGGATGTGAAGAAAAGAACTTGGCAATCCAGAATTGACTAATGGCATAACTAATGAATTTATCACTCCTGAATGATAAATAAGAACAGTAACAGAAAGTGTAATTGGCCTTTTAATTTCAAATGGTATTCACACAGTACAATATATTTCAAACTTGATGCATCTTTTGGGAAAATGGCAAACTAAAAAAAAACTGAAATGTATGAGTGTTTCTTTGATCATTAAGTATTTTAACTAATTATGCTTCAGTAACTTAGAAGATGAGTAAAGACACTCACCGAATCCAGCGTTTATATTACAAGAATGTAAACCAAACTAAAAATCATTGGTGCAATTAAATTACATTGCCATTACCGCTTGTTAGGCAACTTCTACTGAACAATACTACATTTCACATCAAGGAATATTCATTACAATCACCATCTCGAACATGTCACCAAAACACTCCATGCATGTTAATCATCTACAGTTTTTGGCTGAGGAATATATTTAATGGCCTACTGGAGCTGATGTCCAGGTAGAAAGGGCAACATACTAGTTTATTGTGATTACGAGAATTATCGACTTAATGCAGGCTGTTCAGACAGCATTTATCTCAACTGGCCTGGATTTCTTTTGGACTTCTTCCAGGAGATTGGATCATAAAGGATTTGATGAATCATGTCCCTGGTTGAGATGGGAAGAGTTGGTCAAGGCAGATATTCAAATTTACCCTCACTAGAAACATTCCCTTTTTGTCAGATTACATTCCTGTGTAACATCTTGGCTTATTTACAACAATAAAAAGCACAACATTCACTTGTGTGGTGCAGCAGTAGCATCCCTAACGCTGGACCAGGAGGTCTAAGTTCAAGTCCCACCTGCTCCAGAGATGTATGCAACATCTCTGAACAGGTTGATTAGAAAAGTAGTTAAATAAAAGAAAATTAAATAGCACAATACAAATACAAACTGCAGTTGATTATGCTGAATGTGAAACTTTTGTTTAAAACAATATTTTATTCTCATTCTATGATTACAGTATAAAAAGACCATTTGTGTTTGTTTCAGTTCATTGTAAGAACGACTCAGCCAGCTCCACTCTTTTTTTTTCCTCATCCATGAGAATTTTATTTCTTCAGATATTTACCCCAAATCTCTTGAAAACCTCGATTGAATCTGCATCAGCGATACAGAGTGTACAAAGCCTGACTGCTTGTTGCATGAAAAGGCTTTTCCAAATTTATACTTGGTTCTTCTGTAATTTGTCTTGTATCAGCAGCCTTTGGTTCTCAACTCAGAACAAAACAGTTTTGCTCCATTTCTTCTGCCTAGGGCCCTCATGATTTAATAGACCTAGATAGAGACTCTACTCAAATTTCTTCTGTCTGAGAACAACCCAGCTGCTCTGATACACAAGTCAACCATTCTTGTAAATCTTTTTCCCCCCAAAGTCTTCACATTCTCCCCCACAACTTGGTCTCCAGAATTAAAATAAAAGTGAATAGAATCCCTACAGCATGGAAACAGGCAATTCAGCCCAACAAGTCCACACCGACTCGGCAAAGAGCATCCCACCCAGACTCAGCCTGATACCATACCCCTTTAACCCTGGATTTCCCATTGCTAACCTAACCTAACCTAACCTACACATCCTTGGACACTATGGGCAATTTAGCATAGCCAATCCACCTAAACTGCACATCTTTCGACTGAGGAAGGAAACCGGAGCACCCAGAGGAAACCCAAGCAGACATGTGTAAACTCCACATTAGACAGTCACCCAAGGCTGGAATTGAACTAGGTCTCTGGCGCCGAGGCAGCAGCGGGCCACCGTGCCACCCCAATTGGGAACAAGAGTGTGTAGTAGAAGCTGAATCAGTGTCTTAAATAAAGAGCTTCTTTGTTTTTCTTCTCTATCCACGTATTAATACAGAGCAGGATCCTGTAAGCCTTAATCACCACTTCTGCAACCTGCTCTGGCATATTCAACAGTATCTAAACAGATATACACCCCCAACCCCTGGCTATCTGTTTCCACATCCCTTTCAGATTGTCCCCTTTATTTTATAACATCTGTCTTTGTTCTTACTATTTAAATGAATCACTTCACACTTCTGCACATTAAATTTTATTTCACCATTCCACCAGCCTATCACCTTCTCAGAGTTCACAATACTTCCAAATTGTGTCATCTGCAATTGTTCTCTGTAAACTTGTTTAGTCTACAAATAAATATTCCAAAAAAACAGTGGCTCCAGTACCAATTTCTGGGAAACCACACTACAACTTCAAGTCCAAGAAATAACCATTGGAACCACTGTTCCTGTCACAGAACCAACATTATATCCACGGCATCATTGTACAATTTACATGGGCTTCAACTTTGCTGAGAAGCTTATTATTGAATGCTTTATCAAACCCTTTTTGGAAATCCAAATACACTACAAAGAGCCTATTACTGTTATTAAATGCCTCTATTACCTCATCAAAAACTCCATCCGGTTTTAAGCAGATGTGTGATTTGCAATCATCCAGTCTTCTGGTAGCATCTCTCTACATGAAAAGGTTATGGCCAGTACCTTCACAATTTGAATGCTTGTTACTCTTAGTATCCTCAGATGCATCTCATTGAAAGTAACATTTCTTTATCAATCTTTAGCCTCTCTAGCATCACAACTAACTACTCTCTCACTTGAGCCATTTGAATCAATACTCATTAGCATTTGAACAATCTGCATAACAGTTTAGCATTAAGAACTAAACCTCTCCACAACTCAACTCTGAAAGTTTTCCACTCCTGTTACAGTCAACATTAAAACTACAGCTTCTCTTTAGATTCAATCTGGAGTGAAATCTGCCTACTTCGACCTAATTCAAACAAAAAACTTAGTTTTGGATCAGAATTAACCGTGATTAGTCAGTAACAAGTCAAGTTCCTCAACTGAACAAAACTTGAGAATTGTTTTACGAAATGATCCAATCCTTCCGGGACCACTGAGCAGCAAATTCAATTACCTATACCTTCGTTGAAACAAACCACGTTTCACTTCAAGTGTCCTAGTTCAGCAGACAGGGGAGGCTTCTCACCTACTAGTGGTCCCATCTCCGGGAGTGGCGGAGTTAACACTTGTGATGTTTTGATTGCGGTGACATAACACTGTCAACGTAAAGATCCACAGAAAATAGCCCTAAGGAAGTCTACCTGCCACACATTAAATTTATGTCAAAACCCAAAAATAAACAAGTGCCATAGAACTTAGGACACAAGAAGAAAGGCCCCAAAAACATAAGGGTAGAGCCTAAATCTGTAGTCTTGACAGTTCCCATTGCGTCGCTTCAAACATAATCGCCAACTGAAGCGTCAAATAGACTTAGCAATAGACAGACAAAAAATACATACAAAATAAAGTTCAGAAAAAAAAATCAGAAACTGTAAAACATTACCTTTAGGTCATTTTCTGGGAGATATTTACACTGCCGAGCTATCTCCACATACTTATCCAGGTCCAGAGGCGCCATTTTGGGACACGGACTAAGCAGGCCCCAGGCCAATGACGCGCTTCCGGTATCTAAAGCGCCGGCCGCTGGCTAAAGAAACCGGCTTCAAACCTTCATCTTGCTCCGAAACGCGTTCGATCGTTAATGACCGCTTTGTATTTTTTGAAGATTGACCCCATTCCCTAGGTCACACCGAAACTCTTTGTTTAACCCCACAGGCTTTAGGCACCGCCCTCTCCATTGGCCAGCTCGGTGGTAAAGTTGAAAGTTCAAGGGTTGCAGATTCCTTTTCGCAACACCCGAGAAAGAATTTGGGAGGAACGGCAGGTACGAAGCTTTTGAGGCATAGACTTGAGTACAAGATGCTGTAACGGTTAGTCATCGAGGTGCGGAAAATCAGTAAATGGAATTTGGAGGGAAAGGGAACTGGAAAGTGGCTTCTTTCAGTGTTGGCCTTCAAATCGCATTTTGATGCAGCTAGCATTTGATACCTTTGCAGGGACCCCACACTTCTGAGATTTTTTTCATCTTTGTTGTGTTAGTTTGTTGTTTCGCGGAAGCAGGAGTGACACTAAATTAACCATCAAACTTCCCCGTTTGGAGAAGATCGGCGTTTGTTCAAATATTCTCAATGCTCCATTTAAATTTGAAGAACATAAAGAGGCTGCTGTAAAAGCTTGTAAAATGGGGCACAAGTATCCAATATTTAATTTGCTCTTCATTTTTTTAAAAAAATACCCACGAGATTAAATCGATCGTGACAGCGTGCAAACTGATGACGAAGAGACAAAAAAAAAGAGTAGCAGTGAATGTTCAATTATGATACTGACTTGGCGAATCAGGTCATAATCACAATCTGTGCGCATGATAAGAACCTGGAAGCATTGATTGTGATCTCTGAGGAAGACAGTGTCGACCTTCAAAAGGACATGGACATGGTGATAGAATTGGTAGATAAGGGGCAGAAAACCAGACAATACGAAATAAAGAATACAATTCTAAAGAATGCGCAGCCTAGAGAGACGTGAGTGTGCATAAATCAGTGAAGGTAGGACAGATTGAAAGAGTGGCTGTTAAAGCGTACAGTTTCTTAGGCTTTATTGTTAGGAAGGAAGAACAAGCAGATTTTGTTAAACTTGTATAAAAATTGCTTTGGCAATTACATTTCATCCAGTTCTATGCATTGCACTTTAGAGAATGTGGAAAAGATTCACGAGAATAATTTCCAGGATGAGGAACTTCAATTGCTTAGATAGATTAGTGCTGTCATGATTGTTTTTTTTCTGGAAGGCAGGGAGGAGCTTTGTTAGATGCTTTCAAAAGTCATGAGGGATCTGGACAGAATAGAGAAGGGGAAAACAGTGGCCATTTTTGTGGAAGGTTGGAGAACAAAAGGACACAGTTTTTGAGAAATTGGCAAAAGAAGCAATGGTGATATGTGGGGAAAATGTTTTTGAGTGACCCCATTGAGTAACCACATGGAATGTACAGTGAAGGCAGGTTTAATAAAGACATCTAAAAGAAGAATGTGCAGGATTACAGGGAGAATGCAAGAGAATGTCATGAGATAAATTGCTAATTTTGAGATCGACTACAACACAACAGTTTGAATGGCCTTCTGTGGAACTGGAGTGAAGAATACAGCTGTTATCCCTCAACTGCTAATATGTATAGTCTAGGGATATCAGACTGAGACTTTTAGCATTTTTGATTTTTCATCTCCATCCCAAGAATTGGTAGGAAAGCTTGAATGAATGAGAAAACAGATTCAAAATTGCAGACAGCTGTTGACAGGTAGTTTACGACATTTACATGCATCAATCTAAGTCGTAATGCCAATGTCAGATTTTGTAAAGATGTGGAGATGCTGGTGTTGGTCTGGGTGGACAAAATCTGAAGTCACACGACACCAGGTATAGGCCAACAGGTTTGTTTAAAATCACAAGCCTTCAGAGTGCTGCTCCTTCATCAGGTGAAGGCTGATGAAATCTTCATCTGGCGAAGGAGCAATGCTCCAAAAGTTTATGATTTTAAATAAATTTGTTGGACTATAACCTGGTGCCATGTGACTTCAGATTTTGTAAAAGTAATAAATTACCTTATGGTCACATTGAGACTATAATATGCTGTGCTATGGTTTGATTTCATGTTACTATAATTTAATAAATGCAAGTAATTTTTATACATTAACATAACATAAAAGTTTAAATCTTCAATGTCTGACAGTTTTATTCCAGATTTGTCGAAAGGCTATGGAATTGCTGACTGTCTTGGAGCCAGGGGAAACGCCCCAAATAGCAACATGGTAGGCTGTCAAAGCATGTGTACATTTAATCTGACTCTACATTGACAGGAATTGTAACTGTAAAGTGGTACCCTAAAACAGGGATAGTGTCCCCATTTTTTCTTTTGTTTTATTTTGTGCACGTGGTCATCATTTATTTCCCATTCCTGTTGCAGTAGGTCTGTACCACATGTAGGCCAGACCAGCTAAGGATGGCAGTGAACCAGATGAGATTTTTTTGAACAATTGAGTCATTTCATGATCATCATTAGACTCCTAATTCCAGACTCCTAATTCCAGACTTCTATTGGATCCAATTCCATAACTGCCATGGTGGGAGTCAAACCAGTATACCTAGAAAATTACCTGGCTCTCTGGATTAACAGTCGAGTGATAGCACCACTAGGCCATTGTGTTCCTTTCTTCTGCTGTTACAACTATACATGAATAACAAGTTGTGGAAAGACTATGTATAAATCTGTACAGTACTGCTTGCCATGTCACTTAAAAAAGACACTAGGGAATGTGCAGAAATATTTACGGAAATTATAGCAGAAAACCTGTTTACACGGGCGTTCTGCATGGCTTATTGTCGGAACTCTTGCTGTTTGTAATGTAAGTTATAATTTGGACTTAAATGTAGGGATATGATCAAGAATTTCATATATAGTGCAGAAGTTGGTATGGTGGGAAATAGTGGCATAACTGCATGGAGTTTTCAAAGGACCAGTTAATTGGCGGGGCAATGTAGGTTGGATTTCAACCTTGTAAAGCTAATGCACTTGGAGAGGGATTTCAAGGCAAGGGATTATATTATGATTGGTTGGACTCCGAAAAATAGTGAAGATCAGAGGAATCTTGGTGCATATCCTCAGATCCCTTAAGGTAGTAGGGCAAGGTAGGGTAGATAAGGTAGTTAAGAAGGCATATGGGATAACTTGCCTTTATTAGAGGCGTAGAATAAAAGACCAAGGAAGTTATGCTAGAACTGTATAAAATGCTGTTGAAGCCACGATTAGAATAGTGAGGGCAGGTCTGGTCGCCATATTATTGGAAGGATATAACTGTACGAAGAGGGTGCAGTGGAAATTTACCTGGATGTTTTTTGGGCTGGAGGGTCTGAGCTGTACAGAAAGACTGGATAGGCTGGGATTGTTTTCTTTGAGGCAGCAAAAGGTGAGAAGGGGACCTGATGGAAATGTATAAGATTGTGAAGGGCATAGATAGAGTGGATAGGAAGGCATTTTTTTTCCTTTAGTTGAGGAGTCAATAACCAGTGGGTATAGAATTAACACAAGAGGTAAAAAGCTAACAGGACAGTTGAGTTTTTTTTTCTCCAAGAGGGTGGTGGGAGTCTGGAACTCATTATCTGAGTCAGAAACTCTTGTAGCATTTAAACAGTATTTAGCTATTACAGGCAGTCACCAGGTTGTGAATGGGCTCCATTCTTGAATCCATTCACAAGTCAATTTTTACACAAGTGAGTAAGTAAAGCATGACAATATAAAACAGCCTTTCATATGTACAAGGAAACGTCCAAATGTTGGATCTTTAAAATTAATACTAATACACCCCGTATGGGATTGCGTTCGTAAGTATGAGCATTTGTGCATCGAATTTTGATAACTTGGTGATCCCCTGTGATTTACATTGCCATGTCCTCCGTGACTATGGGCCAAGAACTGGAAAACGTTATTCGTTCCATCCAGTCTTTGACTGGTGCAGACACAATGGGCTGAATAACCCCTGTTCTGTAAATGTCCAAGGAAAGACTTGGTGTCTTTTCACTTGAAAAGAGAAGACTGAGGTCTGACCTCATAGAAGTACTAAATTGGGGGAAAGCTAACTACAACAATATTAGGCAGGAACTGAGGAATGTAGAAAGGGCGCAACAATTTCAGGAAATCTTTTAAAGATTAATTGATTCAGGACCAGCATGCTCCTGTGAAAGTGAAGGATAAGGATGGCAAGATTTGGCAACCTTAGATGACGAGAAATTGTGAGTTTAGAAAGAAAAAGGAAGCATAGGTAAAGCTTAGGAAATTGAGGACAGACAGAGGCCTTGAGGAATAAATAGAAAGCAGGAAAGAACTTGAACAAGGAGCAACGATCTTAGCAAATAAGATTAAAGAAAATTCCCAGGCTTTTTATACTTCTGTAGAGAGCAAGATGGTAGATAGGGAAAATGTAGATCCACTCAAGGACAAAAAAGGGAATTTATGCATGGATCTCGAAGATGCGGGTGAGGTCCTTGCATTGGCATTCAAAGTGGAGAAGGACATGGTGGATTCTGAGTCTAGGGAGTGGTATATTGATATTTTAGAACATGTTAATATAAAAATTTAGAAGGTGTTGGGTGTTTTGAAAAGCATTAAGGTAGACAAGTTCCCAGGACCTGATGGGATCTATCCAAAAAACTGAGAGAGGCAAGGAAGGAGGTTGCTGGGGCGTGGTATGAAATTTTTGTATCCTCTTTAGTTACAGACGTGGTCCCAGAGGACCGCAGAATAACCAATGTCGTTCCTTTGTTTAAGAAGAGCAACAGGGGTAATCCAGGAAATTACAGGCTGGTGAGCTGGTAAGATGGATCCTCAACTGGCTTGGTCATCGAAGACAGAGTAGTGGTAGAAGGATAGAGAATAACAAGGTGTAGAGCTGGATGAACACAGCAGGCCAAGCAGCATCTGAGGAGCAGGAAAGCTGATGTTTTGGGTCTTGACCCTTCTTCAGGAGGATGTTTTCCTGCCTGGAGATCTATGACCAATGGTATTCCAGTGCTGGGACCCCTGTTGTTTGTAATCTATACAAATGATTTGGAAGAGAATGTAGGCATTCTGATTAGTAAATTTGTGGACGACACAAAGATGGGGGAGCTGTGGATAGTGAGGAAGATTGCCAGAGGATACAGCAGAATATAGATAGGCTAGAGACTCGGACAGAGAAATGGCAGATGGAATTTAATCTGGACAAAATGTGAGGTGATGCATTTTGGAATGTCTAATGCAGGAGGGAAGTATACGGTAAATGGCAGATCCCTTTGTAGCATTAATATACAGAGGGATTTAGGCTTACAGGTCCACAGTTCCCTCAAAGTGGCAACGCAAATGGATAAGGTAGTCAAGAAGGCATGTAGCATGCTTGCCTTCATTGGTCAAGGTATAGAGCATAAAAATTGGCAAGTCATGTGCAGCCGTAAAATACTTGAGTAAGGCCACATTTGGAATATAGCATACGGTTCTACGTGCTACGAGAAGGATGTGGAGGCTTTGGAGAGGGTACAGAAAACGTTTACCAGGATGTTGCTGAGTTTGGGGGTATCAGCTATGAGGAGAGATTGAAAAAAGCCAGTTTGTTTTCATTTAAATGTCATAGGCTGAGAGGTGACCTGATAGGGGTTTACAAAATTATGAGAGGCGTGGATTGAATGGATAGTTGGAATCTTTTTCCCAAGCTAGAAATGTCAATTATGAGGGGACATAAGTTTAAGGTAAAAGGGGGTAAGTTTAAAGGAGATGTGAGAGTCAAGTTGTTTTAACAGAGGGTCGTAAGTGGTTAGAAAGCGCTGCCACAGGAGGTGGTAGAAGCAGATACAATAGCAATGTTTAAGAAGCATCTTGACAGATACATGAATAGTCAGGGAATAGAGGGATACAGACCATGTGGAGGCAAAAGATTTTTAGTTTAGAAAGGCATGTGTTAGTGCAGGCTTTGTGTGCCGAAGGACGTGTTCCTGTGCTGTACTGTTCTTTGTTCTTTATTTCTTGAAGCGCAGTAGCATGATGTATATAGGCATAGAAAGTCAGTGTTGAATGATGTTCACTTCCTTTTCAATCCAACATATATAAATTAATCAATTTGCCATCTTGCTACTCTGCTCCTATAAACTGTACCTGACTCGTTCTGAATGAAGTCAAAACCATCTTGCACGACCATTCTGGTACATGGTTGTACATGGCCAAGTGACATTATCTACAAGCATGGAAAGCTTAAAATGCTTGATGTAGTATGAATATTACAAAAAGGCCAGAACAGTTTAAAACTCAAGCTACTCTTTCCCTTTATATGCACACTAACTTACAAAATTAAAAGTCTGGAACACTTGTAACAGGGTTTAAATGCTTTCGGGTTCATAACAAGTTATTAAGCTAAGGCAAATGTATAATTTGATCATTATCTTCGTTACAATATGCCTCCTTCTTGGCAGGGGGCTTTTTTGCAGTATTCACCTTGCCTTTGACGCAATAATCAGCAACATGCTTATCATATTTCTCCCTCAGTTTATAAACTTTGCAAATGAATGGCTTTTTCTCTTCTTCACTGCGTGCATTCCACAGCTCAATAAGCTTTTTTTGGCACATCTCCATCATATTGCACATCTCCTTTTAAACTGTTTCCCTCTCACCTTAAATCTATGCCTGCTAGTATTTGACATTTCCATCCTGGTAAAAAGACTCCCGACTATCCACCCTATCCATTCCTCTCCTAATTTTATATACTTCTGTCAGGTCATCCCTCAGCCTCCAGTGCTGTAGCAAAGCCTTCTTTGGACTCATGTATGGTATCAAGTATTAGACCACACGCACACATGACCGTTGCCTGCTGGGTTTTGGTGAGTTGGAGAAGGAGAGTCGTGAAGCGATAATTGATACTAACAGGGAGCTCCAAGAGTTGGTTGATAAATCCATTCTTGATGGCGAATCTAATTCCATACATGTTGGGCTGATCTTAACGCTTTCCTTTCCAGAAGAAGGTATAACCACAACCTTCTTCCCTCAGCAGCCCTTTGTGTTCTGCGAATCTCCTTCAGATATCAACATTGAAGTGCCTGAGTTCAGGCAACTCTTCTCTCCGGACAATTGCTTTGCTCGTAATCTGTGAGGGTTTGTATATTCCAGGTTCCGAGATTGAGTTTGATTTCGGTTTTCAGACTGCAGGTAGAGGAGCCCGCTGAATGTGGTTTTCCAACCAAATTGGAGACAGAACAGGGCACATTTTTAGGGCATCTTTTCTAGCCCATTCCC